GTGAAGGAGAAGCTTTATCCCCTTGTATCACGCAAAAGTGACGATTCTAGTCAACCAATCAACATTCTGCAGTGAGTTTAGCTCCACCCTTTTGGTACCCTTTGCTGTGGTAGGTACCCCAACGGAAGGATACCAAAAAAGTGGTACGGTACGATTCGCTATTTTGGTACCATTCACAACTTCTGACAGTGGAAACGGAAACAATTGTGTACCATACTGTACTGTACCGAACCGTACCGCTCAGTGGAAATGAGCCATTAGTAACCAAATCAAATTAACCCTGACAGGGTTTTTCCTGCATAGAGAATTATGAGGCGGTCGCCTCTGCCAAATTTTGCATAGTATTAATTTTATAAATAGTCTTATGAAGTTTGATGCTAATGTTAGCTTTAATGCACCTGTTACCCTGCTGCAATTGAATTTCATGATATATTCTATCAGAAGAATTCACGTAAGGTTGTAAGAAAATGTTTGTTTTCTAGAAAGACACTTAATAATAAGTGGATAAAACTATATTGGATCAAAGCGATGTGGACCAGGAGACTGTAAGGAGTGGAAAGATTCAGTTTCATGCAGTGTTTATCAAATGTTTTGTTTATGTTAACCTACACTGCAAAAGGGCCCATCTTTAGCTGTTATGTTGTATTTAATGTTAAACCATGTTAAATGTTTTTGTAAATTTTAACTTGATAATTGTCATTTTCTTCAATCATCTAATTATTAGAACATCGCAAATCTGTTGCGTGTAAAAGGTCTTTGTTTCAGCCAGTTGAAGGGTGGGTACAATCTGTGCACATGATCAGGATGGTACCACCTGCTTTGGTGGTATGAAGCAAACTAATTCACTCTCATCCCAAAGATTTGCACAAAACAGTTAAACAGAAGAGTAAGAGCCAAAATGCACTACCGTTCAAATGTTTAGGGTCAGTCTTATGCTCAATAAGGCAGAATTATTTGATTAAAAATACAGTACAAATTTTGATTTTATTCAGAAAAGCTGGATTTTTAGCAGCCATTAGTCCAGTCTTCAGTGTCACATGATCCTTCAGAAACCATTCTAATGAGATCATTTGGTGCTTAAGAAACATTACATATCATCAATGGTGATGAATAAAAAAGTTCAAAAGAACACCATATATTTGAAATAGAAATCTTTTGTAACATCATACATTTTTACTGTCACTTTTGACCAATTTAATGCATCCTTGCTGAATAAAAGTTTAAAAATCTCACAGAGCCCAAACATGGGTAGTTTACCATGAATCAGATGGTGCTTGGGGCAACTTCCAGATTTCTTGACCTCCTCTTTTATATTCACAATTTCATAGGCTGTTCCTCCTGGCCGCTCTCTCACTAGTCAGGACAGTATGTACACCTGACATTTGGTCGGCCAGATTTCAATCCAATAATCTTTATCATAGAATGTCACAAGTGCGCAAAATGTGTTACGAGTTAGCAAACCAGGCTTTTTGTTGCAGACTAGTCCCAGATTTAAAATATGAAAGGTCGACGAGTCTTGTAGTGTGTGCTTAGCTCTAGAGATGAAATAATAATAGTGCTAACAAGTGGCATTTAAGAGACAGATAACACATGATGCCTTATGGG